TCCTGCTGATGTTGATGGAATAAGTTATTATCTTGACCAAGTTTATTAGCCTCTCTGCCAATATTTGTTTGGTGAAGAGCTGCCTTCAAAATGTAAATAAAAAATAAAATTAATATTTTCATGTTGAAAGAAAATTGTGTTGAAGGTTACGTAAGCTTTAAGAAATCCATTGAATGAAATGATCCATGCAATACAAGTTGAGAACTTTCAAAGTTTTCTTTTTATTATCCTTAAAAATAAAACTATACGACTTTTCTCTTCTGGGTCTTGTACATCCAACTTTACATCTACATTTACAAGATTCCTTGATCAACATTTTTGTTTCTAACTATACTTCTTCAGCAACATTTTTCTCAACAACGAAAGAGGTTGTAACATCGACCAGTGGAATTATTGTAATGTTTGAGATTTGATTGAAAATTGTTATCAAGACTCCCATATATAGCACCAAAGCAAGCTCAATAGGACATACAAAATAATATTTAATAATATAACTAGATGTAGTTAGTAACAAGCTAATGACCAGTAATTTTTATAAAAAATTATCAAAGGAGATTCCTTAGAACATACACAATAGATTTTATAGTTCATGGAGAATATTTAGCATAGTTTCAATTTTAGACTAATTTAAAAAAATTTAAAAAACCAAATTAAATCATTTGAAAATATTAAAGAATCATAAATATAAAAAAGATACATATTGAAAGTGTAATTTAGCCATCATAAAATTAAAAGAAAATTGCAAAATAAAATTAAAAGCAAATTTAAAACATAAAAATCATATTCTGATGTTTTCTTTTCAATACTAATCATACCGAGAACAATAATAACAACAAAGAAATCATCAAATGCATTATCAAAGCATCCTTGAGTACTTCTCAATAATGTGTATTGTGCAAAATCGTTGTCTGAACCATTCAAAAATGTATCATATTTATTATAAATACATTTTGTGTGTATTAAAGGCATTCCCCAATTAACACTGGTTGCAATGTGAAAAGACTAGTCTTTTTCGAGATTGAGAGACAAATAAAGTGAATATATAGGCTCTCTTAACAAAAGACCTTTTCCATTTATACAATTGAAAATTCTACCTTAGTCAATATGCATAACAAAGAAATAACTATGCTAATACGTAACATGACATCTAAAGAAGAAAATCTCTTTTTCAAAGTTAAAATAAATATTCTAAACCAACAATCTATTACGTAATCAAAAGTGCAAAAATTAATACCTTCACTTTTTGATGACCGTTATCCCAGAATTCCTTTTACTCTTCGGGTTCATGGATGATAACTTTTTTTATGTGGGATATTTTGTACCAATCTTGTCGCAGACATCTTTTACCCAACTCAGGACAATCTTTAATTTCTAAATGTTCAAGGCTTGTGACGTGCTGCATGTTATCAGGGAATGAGAGCAACTTTGGACAATTACTAATACGAATTATCTTGAGACAAATTAGAGTTGAAATCCACTCAGGAAGCTCCATGAGATTCTCGCAATCAATAATTTCCAAACAATGTAGTGTATTCATAGATCCTTGCAACCACCGAGGAAAAGTGACCAGTTGTGGTAAATTTATAAGATTAACTAAATTTAAACATGAACTCGGAATTTGATTGTCCAGGCCCATTGACAAATCTAATTTTCCACAATTGGCGATACCAAAAACTTCTAAGTTTGTAACGACATGAAATGACAATGACTTTAGATTCCTACAGTCACAAATACCCAAAGTTTTAAGACTAGAAAGTTTTATCCCTTCGGAAAACGACTCCAATTTATCACAAGCAAAGAATCTTAGATCTTCTAAAGAAGTCAAATTTGCAATCTCATTTTCAGGAAAATCAGGTTGCCTTGTGGTTATATACAGCTGACGAAGGCTGATTAGCTTTCTTATTCCTGTGGGAACTTCTTGTAGCTTTATGCACCCTTCGAAGTTAAAAGTTTTCAAACATTGGAGATTGCAAACTGCATTAGGGAGTTCCTTAAGTTTTTCATTACGTCCCAAACAGAGATATCTTAAATGTTTTAACTTTCCAATGGAACTCGGCAAACTCTTGTATTCAGAAAAACTCAATTCTAAAAACCTCAAGTATTTGCACCTTGACACCAATGTATTCAAGAAAGCTTCATTGGTGGCTTTCATGGGAAAAATTGAAAGTTTCAGGCCTGTAGGAACGAGATCTTGGTCAAGCAAATTATTGTCTGTGAATCGCAAATGTTGAACATGCTCATCTATTTTGGGACTACTGCGATTTATTATTTGAAATTCGCCTTTCGCAACATATAGTGCAAGATCACGCACTAAATCATGTAATTTAAATTCGTAAACTGTGCCCAAATCAACAAAATCTGAAAGAAAAGATCTTAACAGTAGCTCACGCAAAAATTGATTGACAACATCATTTATTGTTTGTCTTTCCTTAGGAGGTGGAACAAGATCAAGTGCCTGCCACATATTAACACAATGAATAGTAACAATCGATTGGGCCTCAGGGAAAATAGAGAAGGAAGCAAAGCATGGTTTTAAATATGAAGGCAGCCGATCGTAACTTATTTCAAGAGCGGGCAAAATATCTTTTTCTTGTTGTGGAAAATTCCAAATCTTATTGTCCCTTATAGACTCCCACTCTTTTCTGTCAACTCTTGAGATTAGTGAACTACCTAATGTTCTCACTGCCAATGGTACCCCTTCACATTTTCGCACTATTTCTTTCCCAATTTCTAACAATTGTGGATATTTTTTCTCTTCTCCTTTTTCAAAAGCCAAATTAACAAATAGAGAGAAGGAATCCTCTTCAGAAAGACGATCCAGGAGGTAAGAGTTAGAGGGTTTGGTGCGCATCATAGCAGCTGTTAAATGGCTTCGAGTAGTCACGAGGATTTTACTCCCTTCAACACCTACATCTATTATTTCTTTCAACTCATCCCATTTAGTGCGATTCTCATTCCACACGTCATCTAAGACGAGCAAGAACTTTTGATGTTGGAGTGTTTTTCTCAAATGATTTTGAAGTTGCTCCATTTCAAAGTTTTCAAACTTTTTCTCAGTAGGATTAGGAGCAGAATTAAGGATTTTAATAAGCACATTCCGAAGTTCAAAATCATTAGAGACACACACCCATATCTTCAACGGAAAACATTCATCAATGGTGGTATCATTGAACACCAACTTTGCAAGCGTGGTCTTTCCCAAGCCTCCCATTCCCACAATAGGAATAACAGAGAGACGTTTGTCATGACCATCTTGCCGCAGAAGCTTTATTATTTTTTGTTTATCATGTTCCCTCCCTATAACATTTGAAGGGTCTAGATGGGAATGAGTCATTTCCCTCACGTGAACGACACGTGTATCATTGTGAATCATTTGAAGGCCAAACATGTGGCCATCAACTGCAACCTTGTTCAACCTCTCCTTGATGTCTTTTATCTCATGTGCCATTCTAAAACGATAAATGAGATGATTACTAGTTGAGAAGAAACGGCATACCTTCCTTGTGAAGCTACCGTAGGTTTTGACGACATGCCTCCGCAACGCTTCGCACTCAAAATCGTCAACTATGTTGTCAGCGTCAGAGATGACGCGCTTGATCTGTTTCAGCCACTCTCTCAGCGCATTGTTGTGTGGCTTCTTTTGCTCGGCATCTAACAGAAAAGCTTTGATAAGTACCATAGTCTCTTTCATTTGTTGTAGATCATGGTGCACACCCACCATGAGAGAAGCTTCTTTAACAACACCAGACGCTAGCTTTCCTATCAGTGATTCTGTGGCAGCAGTAAGGAGTGATTCTGCCATGATTGTTGGTAAGAAGCAGAAACAATAATGCAATGCCAATTTGCTAGTATGGTTTTTTTGTGGAATATCATATCATATCATATCTTTATGATATTTATACTGTCTCAAAGAGAGATTCTCCCATCTCTTGCCTCCTCTTTGGAAAAAGGTATTATTTTATCTTATGAAGCAAAGCAATCTTAAATTGGAGATTTGTTTTCTTCATTCTGAATGACTTCTATACGACTTTTGGTATCATAGTTAACTTAGAGAAGTTGAAAGGTTTGCGTTTTAAAGCTTGGCCAGCACATTATTCCTTCCTTTGGCTCATGTGAGACGTTTCCTTTGGACAAATCATGCATCAGGTTCGACTTCATTGGTAGCATATATTGTGCGCGTTGCATGTACTATATACTTCTCAGAAGTTTCAATTCATACACACGCAAAGTCCAGTCTTGTTAAATTTCACCAACTGGCAACTTGCTAACAAAGGATTCATGCAGAAACCATTTTGGTGACTTAGTGTTGAAATAAAAGTAAATATTCACCGAATTAAAAAATATATATTCACTAAAAAATTGTAAATAATTTGATTGAGATAATAAATAATATAAGGCAGTGGTTATGTTAGTTTATGAATTATCGAATAGTAAAAACTTCTTTGATGGTAGAAAGAATGGGGAGGCAAATTTATAATGATAGGCTTAGTTGAGAGGAAAACTAGCTTAGAGGAATAGTTAGAATAGATTTGAGTAGTGAAAATGACTTACTAGTTGCTTGGGATACAAATGTTGGGTACATGGCCTATTTATAAGCCTCAACATTTTATGTAGAAGATTCTAGAGATATCTATTTTAGAGTTTTCTATCTATATGTAATTGTCTACATAATTCTAGAATTTGTATCATCTAGTAGTTACTAGCATACATCTATGTATTTTCTATAATGATATAGCTTATTCTAGAAGTTTGTCTCACATTTTAACATTCTTCCTTGATACAAATTTCTCTAACTCCTATCATAGTGCGAAACTGTTCAAATCTACCTCTCGGTAGTGCCTTTGTGAATATGTCAGCAACTTGTTCTTCGGTCTTACAATACTCCATCTTGATTTCTTTAGTTGTTTCTGCTTCTCTGATGAAGTGGTATTTAATTGCAATGTGTTTTGTCCTGCTATGATGTACTGGATTTTTTGTCATTGTTATTGCTGATTTATTATCGTAGTAGATTGTAGTAGGCCCATCTTGTTGTTCTCCCATTTCTGCAAGTATTCTTTGTAGCCAAATTGCTTGACTTGTAGCTTCAGCTGCTACAACATATTATGCCTCTGTAGTTGATTATGCAACTGTTGCTTGCTTTCTTGATGCCCAAGAAAATATTCCTGATCCAAGTGAGAAGGCATAACTAGAGGTGCTCTTCATGTCATCTACCAATCCTGCCCAATCACTGTCAGTGTATCAGAGCAAACTTAAGTTGGTCATTGTTTTGTACCAAATGCCAAACTCCTTCGTGCCTTGTAGATATCTTAGAATTCTTTTAGCTACTCCAAAGTGAATTTTGCTTGGGCTTTGCATAAACCTTCATAAAAGACTTATAGCATACATTATGTCTGGTCGTGTGGCTGTTAAATATAGTAAGCTTCCAATCAAACTTTTGTAGCAAGATGCATCAACATCTGGTGCTCCATCATCTTTTTGTAGCTTCTCCTTTGTCACAAGTGGAGTAGTGACAGCCTTGGAACCACTCATCTTGAACTTCTTCAAGAGAGCTTTAGTGTATTTCTTTTGACAAATGAATATCCCTTTCTTCTTTTGACTTACCTCAATACCAAGGAAGTAGTTCATCAAGCCAAGGTTCGTCATTTCAAATGTCTTCATCATGTCTTCTTTGAATTCTGTCATCATCTTCATATTGTTCCCTATGTAGATAAGATCATCTACATACAAGGAGACAATGTGAGTGTCATACTAACCTTGTGTCTTGATGCATAGTGTTGGCTCACTCTTACTCCTCCTAAATCCATGATTGGTGAAGTATTGATTTATTCTGTTGTACCATGCCCGAGGAGCTTGCTTCAAACCATATAAAGCTTTTCTAAGCCTTAATACGGTGTCTTCATTGCCCTTGCTTATGAAACCTTGTGGTTGCTCTATATAGATCTCTTCTTGTAGTACTCCATTCAGAAAAGCAGACTTGATATCTAGTTGGTAGATATTCCAGCCTTTTTGTGTCGCAAGAGCTATTAGATCTCTAATTGTATCTAGGCGTGCTACTGGGGCAAATGTCTCGTTGTAGTCGACTCTAGGTTGTTGTGAATAGCCCTTAGCTACCAACCTTGCCTTGTGCTTTTGTATGGTGCCATCCAGATTGAGCTTTGTCTTATAAATCCATTTTACCCCGATGATATCTTTGTCTTTTGGATAGTCTACTAGATCCCATGTGTTATTTTTCTCAATCATTTTTATCTCTTCTTCCATAGCCTTGACCCATACTTGTTGCTTTGATGCTGCTTCAAAGCTTTCAAGTTTAAGTATGGCCAAGTTGCAGGTTTCATATATATCCACCAAAGATCTAACTCGTCTTGGAGTAGACTCTGGTGATGGAGTTTGTTGTTGTGGAGGAGAATGAGGCTCACCTAGGACTTCTGTAGTTACTTATTCTGGTTGCTGAATTGAGATAGGAATATTTTTCTTTACTTTTAAATCATTTCGATTCCAAGTTGCATTTTCATCAATTTCAACATCTCAACTAATAATCAGCTTCTTGGTTTGCAAGTTGTAGACTCGGTAGCCTTTTGATTGTGTGCTATATCCAAGGAAGATATCTCGTACTGTCTTGTCTTCTAACTTGTGCCTTTTCTCTTCTAGAACGTGTATGTAGCAAATAGATCCAAATACCCTTAGGTGCTTTTGATGGAGACCTCCCTTCCAGGGGTGATTATGGCGTCTTGAAGAGGTTCACCTTTGCCCAAGGATCTAGGCTCACCAAAGGAAAAGAGAAGGAGACGTTTAGGGTGGAAGTGGTTTTGGGCGTGAAGTTGGTGAAGGGATAAGTGGAAGTGTTTGGTGCTCAAGTAGGTTGGCTCACTTCAAGATGAAGATGGAGGCCACTCTAGGGTTTCACTCTCCAAGGGTGGAGAATAAAGTAGGTTAGCCGAATTAACCTAGTGACTAAGGATGGGATTTTGAGGCATAAAGATGCTCACTCAATATCATATAATTCAAAGTATTTACAAGGTGTGGTGCCTAGGATATTTATAGGAGTGGGAGACATCTAGGGTTGCATTTAGGGTTGCATGGCCGAAATTTGCAATGTCAAATGCACACCAAATGAAACCCAAATTAACCCTAGATGTAACTTGGTGGCCAAGGATGGAATCTTTGGGTTTGGTTAGGCTACATCTAGGTGCATGATAAAACCATGCAACCTAGTGCTCTCCACTTGGGCCTAAGCCTTTCCAAGTCCAAAAATAGGTCCAATAACCACCAAAAAATGCATCTAGCCTTTATCCCACCCTAATCAAATACCTTAGCCCAAAAATAGAATCCTATGATCTAAAGCACCCCATAATACAAGGGTAAAATGGGAAATACAAAAGAAAATAAATCCTATGACTAAGATACCCCAAAATACAAGGGTAAAATTGGAAAATAAAATATCCTTATACAAATGAAGCTTAGGAGAGTATTTTAGTACTATATGATCATAAGGAGGGCGTCCCTTGGTGTGTGAGTTCCCTCATTCTCTTCCACTCTCCTAGCCATAAACCTAGTGATAGGGCCCACATGTATCCTCAAGGATGGTCCTCCATCATCCCCTCCTTCTTGAGAAGCATCTGTCCTCAGATCAAAATCTTCATCCATATCCTCAGCTCCTAAAAATGGTGTGAGATCACATACATTAAAAGATGAGCTAATGCCATACTTAGAAGGAAGGTCTAATTGATATGCATTATCATTTATTTTGTGAAGGACTTGGAATGGTCCATCTCCCCTAGGGTTTTGTTTTGACATCCTTTGAGTGGGAAATCTATCCTTCCTCAAATGAAGCCAAACCCAATCCCTAACTTCAAAAGTTATTTTCTTTCTTCCTTTGTTGTTGTATTTGGCATATTTTTGTGTTTTCTTTTCAATTTGGCTCTTAATCTTTTTCATGATATTTTTTAATAAAATCCGCCCTAGATACACCTTCTTTGTGAAACAAGGAAGGAGTATTAGGAAGGGGTAGTAGATCAAGAGGAGTTATTGGGTTAAAGTCGTATACAACTTCAAAGGGTGAAAGATTTGTAGTCTTATGGACTACTCTATTGTATGCAAATTGTAGGTGGGGGAGACAGTCATCCCAAGTTTTCTTATTCCCCTTTAGGAGTACCCTTAACAAAGTGGATAGGGACCTATTTACTACTTCGGTTTGGCCATCGGTTTGGGGATGACAAGTAGTAGAATAAAGGAGCTTTGTTCCTAATTTTTCCCATAGTACTTTCCAAAAATGACTAAGGAACTTCGCATCCTTATCGAACATAATTGTCTTGGGTAGACCATGCAAGCGGACCACTTCCCTAAAGAATAACTTAGCTATATAGCTAGCATCATCCACTTTGTGGCATGGTATGGAATGAGCCATTTTGCTAAAACGGTCCACTACCACAAAGATGGAGTCAAATCCCCTTTGAGTCCTTGGAAGTCCAAGCACAAAGTCCATACTAATATCTATCCAAGGGGAGCTAGCTATGGGAAGGGGGGTATATAGAGTCCATGAGGCATTACTCTTGACTTAGCTTTTAGGAAAGTAATGCATTTGGAGCAATGACTTTGGACATCTATTTTCATATATGGCCAATAAAATTTTTCTTTTAAGAAACTTAGGATTTTATCAACCCCAAAATGACCCATCAGACTCCCTTCATGACTTTTTTTGACCAAAAGCTTTCTAATGGATCCTTGAGGTATGCAAAGTTTGCCCATTCTAAAAAGATACCCCTCAAGAAGATAGAACCCATCAAAAGGCTTTTGGAGACATTTGGCATAAGTGGCTTGGAAGTCCAAATCAAGCTCATACAATTCCTTTACATCATCAAAGCCAAGTATTTGTGTTCCTAAGGTGGAGAGCAAGGTATGCCTCCTTGAAAGAGCGTCAGCGTCGGCTACCACATTCCTTTTTCCTTTTTTATATTTGATGATGTAGGGGAATTGTTCAAGATATTCCACCCACTTTGCATGCCTTTTATTCAACTTCCCTTGCCCTCTAAGATACTTAAGTGACTCATGGTCGGTGTGTATAAAAAATTCTTTGGTCACTAAGTAATGCTCCCAAACTTGGAGAGCTCTTATAAGGGCATAAAGTTCTTTGTAATAGGTGGGATAATTCAAGATGGCCCTAGGGAGTTTTTCACTAAAGTAGGAAATGGGGTGGCCTCTTTGAAGTAACACAACACCTATGCCAAGACCAAATGCATCACATTCTAGCTCAAAGGTTTGGTCAAAATTTGGGAGAGCTAAAATGGGTGCATTGGTAAGTTTCTCTTTTAGGATTTTAAAGGCTTTTTCTCGGTCATCAACCCAAAGGAAAGGTACATCCTTCTTAACAAGCTTGTTAAGAGAGGATCTAAGTGTGGAGAAGTCTTTTACAAATCTTCTATAGAAGCTAGCTATACCATGAAAGCTTCTAATATCTCCAACACTTTTTGGGGTGGGCCAATCTTGGATGACCTTTATTTTTTCGGGATCAACATGAACTCCCTCTTTGCCAACTATGAAGCCCAAAAAATTGACTTGGTCTTTGCAAAATGTACACTTCTCAAAGTTGGCATAGAGGTGGTTGTCCCTAAGAATTATTAATACTTGCCTTAGACGTCCAAGATGTTCATCTAAGGTTTTTCTATACACCAAAATGTCATCAAAGTAGACGACCACAAACTTTCCTATGCAATCCCTAAGAATATGATTCATTAGGCGCATGAAGGTGCTAGGAGCATTAGTGAGGCCAAAAGGCATCACTAACCACTCATACAAACCAAATTTGGTCTTAAAAGCAGTTTTCCACTCATCACCCTCTTTGATTCGAATTTGGTGATAACCACTTTTAAGGTCAATCTTGGAAAATATGATGGCTCCATGCAATTCGTCTAACATATCATCTAACCTAGGGATTGGTGCCTATATTTTATTATTATATTATTGATGGCCCTACAATCAGTGCACATCCTCCATTTGCCATCTTTCTTAGGCACCAAAAGAACGAGACAACACAAGGGCTAAGGCTCTTTTGAACCCAACCCTTCTTCAACAAGTCATCAACTTGAGACTCCATCTCTTTGGTCTCTTGAGTATTAGTCCTATAGACGGGCCTATTAGGAAGACTAGCCCCCAATATGAGGTCTATTTGATGTTCTATTCCTCTCAAAGGTGGAAATCCACTTGGAACTTCTTGAGGAAATAAATCATCAAACTCTTTCAAAAGTTTTTGAACCTCTTGAGGTAGAGACTCAAGGTCATGACTAGTGGTAGCTAGTGTCTCTTTGAAGTAGAGAAGGTATAAAGTTTGTTCACACAAAAGAGTTTTCTTGATATCGTTTTTAAGGGACAAATGACTTTTGTGCACAACTTCCTTAGAGGAGACACTAGCCTCTAAGCTTGATACCTTCTCTTCCCTCTCTTCATTCAAGGGAGAGTTTTTCTTTTGTTTTTGTTTTTGTCTTTTTTTTTTTTTTGCTTTTTCTTCTTCTCTCTTGGCTTTCATTTTTATTTGGTCCTCACTCACTTGTGAAGGTGATAGAGGACACAAAACAATTTTTTTACCTAGGTGATGGAAACTTATCTTATTAGTGATGCTTTCATGAATGGTTTTTTCATCAAATTGTCAAGGCCTCCCAAGTAAAATATGGCTAGCATCCAATGGCACTATGTCACACAAAACTTCATCTTTATACCTTCCAATGGATATAGGAATATTTAATTGTTGGTCGACTATAATTCCTCCTTCCTCATTGATCCATTGCAACTTGTAAGGTTTAGGATGAGGTAGAGTAGTCAAGGATAGCTTGTTAACCAATCTAGTACTACAACAATTACAACTAGATCCACTATCGACAAAGAGAGAACAAGTGTTGTCTAAAACTTTGCATCTTGTGTGAAACAAGTTCTCTCTTTGGGATTGATCTAAGTCACTAGATTGATTCCCAAGGAGCCTTCTTACCATTAATAATTCTCCTTCACATGGGTAAGTTTCTTCCTCAGATTCTAAAACTTCTTCTTCATCACTTGAAGATGAAGAAGTAGCTTCATCAAGGCTACTATAGTGATCTTGGCCCCTTAAAATCATGGTTTTCTTGGTGAGGCATTGTGAGGCAATGTACCCACGGCCAAGACACTTGAAACACTAGATTTCACTTGTTTTAGTGTCTTTGGAAGGTACCTTAAGAGAAGGTCTTTCTTTTTCTTTTTCTTTATCATTAGGAAAACGTTTGGAAGAGGGGACCTTCTTCTTAAAATTCTTGGAATAAGAGAGAGTGGGGTCTTTTCTAAAAGCTTTTCTCTTAAGTTGGTGTTCCACTCTAGAACAAAGTTGAACAAGCTCATTCAAATCTCTATATGGTAAGAGTTCAACTTTGTCTCTTATTTCAAGGTTGAGACCACTTTGAAACCTTGAGATGGTGGTCCTCTCTTCTTCCCTTATCCCAGCCCTCATCATGAGTAACTCTATAGATTACCTATATTCTTCCACACTAGATGACCCTTGTTTCAACCTTTGTAGCTTATCCATAAGCTCTCGGTCATAGTATGGAGGAATATGCCTCCTTCTCAAGGCACTATGGAGCTCATTCCAATATTGAATTGGGGGCTCTTGATTTATTCTCCTCTCTTTTTTTAAGGAGGTACACTAATACATGGCATGCCCTTGGAAGCTAAGGGTTTCCAAAGAAACCTTTCTCTCTTCACTCACTCCATGGCACGAAAATAATTGTTCAACTTTCATTTCCCAATACAAATAAAGTTCAACATTGTCTTTGCCATGGAATGGGGGAAGAGTGATGTTTGGTTCCCTATTGGAAGATTCCCTATGTCTATGTTGTCTTGGGGGTCTTTGATAGTAATCATCATTGTGATGACTACTATAGAAGATATCACTTGGAGGTTGGGTATGATGCCCTACCTCCTCATGAACACTTGAGGGTATTCTAACCCCTTTGCCCTTTGAAGATTTAGGGGAAGAGACTCTTGGTATTGATCCACTAGCCTCTCTTCCCACAACTAACCTAACAAGCAACCTTTTTATTTCTTCATTGTTTTTCTCATTCTCTTTTTCTATATTTTCTTCCTCTTTTTTTCTCAAATATTCTTTCAATTCTCTAAGTTCTTCCCTAACACTTGACCTAGTACTACGATAATTATGACCATGTACACTAGAATGATCACTCATCTTTGATCAAAAAGGTTTTCACAAATTTGTTTTCAAAAAAATATTGGTAAAAAGGTTTTCACAAAGAATGAGTGATAAAAAGGTTTTCACAAAAAGGTTTTTCAAGGTGCAAGTTTGGTATGAAAAGGCCTAAGTGTACAAAGTGAACTATCAAGGGAGGTGGACTACTAAGAATCACTTAAAAACCAAGCCTTTCAAGTAAAAATCACTAAGCCTTTTTACACTTTTCTCACAAAAACAATTTTGCACAAGAATAAAGTGTGTGGTGTGCACGACCCCCTAGTAGGCAAAATGAAGCCTTCTAAACGCAAAAACTAGATAAAATAAGTCCTAGGCAATTATACTACACAAGCTATAAAGCATGCAAAGGAAAGCACTTAAACATATACTAGTCGAATTTCCAAGGTGAAGGTTTTCAAATCACCTTCAATCTACCCGAAACTACCACAAAAAGTGAAGAGGTTTAAAAATGGCCAATTACAACCCAAAATAAATAAACAATGACCAAATACAATTTTCCCAAAATAAATTAATCAATAATTAATATTAAATAAAAATTATTTCTTCAACTCCTCCAATTGGGTTCCTTCACAAAGAACAAACTTTGGTTAGTCCTCTCCAAGTGTTTAAGAACTCCTTTTGGGTGTGTAAATCCCTCCAAAGGACTAGGTATAGATTCGGTTTGCTTCTCCACTCACATCCACCGAAGGTTTGCTAGTTGTCTATAAAGGTTCTTCACCTACACTCAAAATGAAACCAACACAAGAGCAAGAGTCCAAGAAATAAAAACTAAAAAGGCACAATTAATGAAAGGCTAAACTTAGAGAAAATTGATTGAGACAAACAAAAGAGGCCAAATAAATGACAAACTAAAATTAAGACACAATTAAAAAGGAAGCACACAAAAGAATAGTCTTAGAATGACTCTAAAATGGATTAGTTGTTTAGTCTACTTTGATTAAGTCCTTTATGAGGTTTGGTCCAGCCACATTTAAAGTCTCAAAAATAGGTTCAATAAGGTCTTAAGTCCAACTCCAAAAAGCATAGGTATTGGTCCAAGTCCACAAGTCTAGCAACAAGTCCTTTTTGGTCAAAATTTTTTTTGTTCTTTTTCTTTTTTGTTTCTTTTTTTTCACGTCAATATTTTTTGTTCTTTGGGTCCAATTTTCTTTTAAGAATTCAACCCATTTGCTTTTTAGGTTTTGCACTTGTGGGTGGAGAAGAAATTAGGTCAAATTTAGGAGAAGGAGAAGGGGACAAGTGGCGGTTTCTTAGAGGTGTTTAAGGTATCTTTTGAGTGGAATTGGATTTGTACTATCTAGTACAAGTTGTTTTGCACAAATTTTTTAGCACACCTTTTAGATTCTTTTATGGTTTTTAATCAACAAATATAGACTAAATCAAGTGGAAATTCAAGGAAAAGTGGGGCGGCAATTTAGATGCATGTGCAAGGAAGCATTTACACATGGATACTTCAAAAATACATGGAACATGCTAGGACTAAATAGCATGTATGAATGACTTCTAGATAGCTTCTATATGTCAAATCCATTTCATGTTATGCATCATGATATTTTTGGTTCATGTATTCATTCAAAGTGTTTGGCATACATACATGGAATTTTGTAAACAAAATATGGAAACAAGACTTGACAAAACATGAATGGATTCAAAAATCAAAAACATGTTCATCATGTTCATATGAGACTCAAACCTAAAAATGAAAAAGCATGGATATCACCTAACAAGGAAACCTAAAACGTTCAAGGAAGGTTCACAAGAAGCAAAATATGAACCAAAATATGAAGCAAAGAATTTGGCCACAACAAAGAATGACAACAAGGAGACAATGACCGAAAAGAAAAAACAAGGCTAGATGTTACCCTTGATGAACCATGGCTCTAGATACCACATGATGGAGACCTCCCTTCCATGGGTGATTATGGCGTCTTGAAGAGGGTCACCTTTGCCCATGGATCTAGGCTCACCAAAGGAAAAAATAAGGAGACGTTTAGGGTGGAACTAGTTTTGGGCGTGAAGTTGGTGAAGGGATAGGTGGAAGTGTTTGGTGCTCAAGTAGGTTGGCTCACTCCAAGATGAAGATGGAGGCCACTCTAGGGTTTCACTCTCCAAGGGTGGAGAATGAAGTAGCTTAGCCGAATTAACCTAGTGACTAAGGATGGGATTTTGAGGCATAAAGATGCTCACTCAATATCATATAATCCAAAGTATTTACAAGGTGTGGTGCCTAGGGTATTTATAGGAGTGAGAGACATCTAGGGTTGCATGGTCGAAATTTGCAATGCCAAATGCTCACCAAATGAAACCCAAATTAACCC